CCTTTTTTTGTATGTTAACTTGTGGTTGCAGATGCCTCCCAGCTGTGCACGGGTTCACGAGACAACACCATGTGCAAGTGGGACACAGAGACCGGAGAGTGTCTGGGCAGAGCCGCTATCTCCAGGAATCTGGTAGGAGCCGCTGGTTCCTTGCAGTCTATCATGGCACCTCGCTGCCTACTTGGTTATTTCACACATGAAGCCGTGTAGAGTGAATTTGCTCTGAGCTCGGTGCTACAAGAAGCCCTCGAGGCACTGCACGGGTTGCCTGTGCACCTGGGGAGACCAAAGCTTGAGGCCAGTTACTTCATTCTCCAGGTAACAACAAATCCAGGAGCACAAAGGTACCAAGAGACATACGGCAATTTATTAACGCTCTACCTCAGAGCTGTTAGGAAGCACATCATGCGGTGGGGGCTGCATTCCCTTCTGTACCAGCCCAGCAGCGGAGCTGGTATGGGTACCGTCTTCTAGTGCGCGCGGTACCCCTATTCCCATGGCTCTGTGTCCTGTTGAGCTGTTGGCACCTCCCTGCCTGCAGATAACCCCCAGCAGCCACGCTGGGATTGAACCTGGTGGGGGAGCAGCGTTGGTGCGAAGCAGAAAAAAACCTCATCCAACATTTCCTGCTCACAACCCAGCACGAGGAGGGAGAGGATGGGAGCTCGGTGGCTGCGTATCTACAGGCGGACACCAGCCTGGGCTGCACACAGAGGTGGGCTTCTGCTCATCCTTTCCTCTCCGCAGGTCACACACCTGTGCTGGGTTCCTGGGGAGCCTTACGTCATCCAGACCTCAGAGGATAAAACAATCAGGTAAATTCTACGTGTGGCCACGGAGAAGGGAGTTGGGGCACACGGGGATTATGGAAGATGTCGGTGCACAAGGGGCTGTTTCTTTGGTTGTCATGACCACCTGGTCTCCTGTACCCTGCTGGGGTGGCTAGAAGCCACCTTCCAGCTCACCTGGGTCTTGGAGCATGGTCTCTTGCCAGGGGAGGACAGTATGGGGACACCCCTGGCTGTAAGCAGCACTGGGTGGCGACTGTGGGTGAAAAAGAGAATTTATAAAAAAGCTCAGCACAGCTGCTCTGGCTAAAGATTGATCCAGGACAGATAAATGCAAGGGTGCAGTGAGAGCTTTGGGAGCTCGGCTTGCTGGGAGGAAGGAGGGGGACTGCCCCACGAGGGACGGCAGCAAGGGCAAAGCGTGAGGGCGCAGCAAGGGTGCGCAGGAGGGCATGGAGGGAAGCCCATCGTGGCACTGATGCATCAGTCCCCCTTCCCCGCTCCTATTCCTTCCAGGATCTGGGACAGCCGGGAGCTGCAGGTGGCACACACGTTTCCAGCCAAGCAGCACATTCAGACGTGCTGCGACGTGAGCCAGGACGGGCGGTACTGCCTCAGCAGCAGCAGCGGCTCCGCTGGCGAGGGCGGCGAGGCGACCGTGAGTTTGCTGGGCAGCAAGTCCTGCTTTTTCTGGTTTTTCTCCAATGTCAACGGCATACAGCGGAGGGCAGCAGATCAGTGCTCCAAGGATCTGCTTGCTCCCGTTGCGTTGGCCTTATGCCAGTGTCACCAGCCAGGGCCAGAGCTTACCGTCTTCCTGCCTGTCCCTTCGGTAAGTCTTCTGCTCAGAGAACATCCGAGCAGATATTCTTCCTGATTAAAGCACTGGGGTTTTGTTTCAGTAATGGCATCGAGGAGCATGAGGTTCTTGCAGAAAGCCTGTAAGGGCCCCCTTGCTCGAGGTGTTTCCAAACCAGGGATACAATCCTGCAGGTTCTGAGCCCCGTGTGTGAGCATCAAGAGGATGAGACCATCCCATCCCAGGGAGAGCAGGGCTGAGGACGGGAGCAGGCTGGAGTCGTGGTTTTCTGCCTGCACAGTCTTAGCCCATCAGCTCTAATGGGCGTGGGCACATACTCACATAGTCACCGGTGGTGAAAATCCTTTGGGGTTTGAAGTTCTCCAGGACTGTGAGCATGAGCAGGGCACAAAGGCGGTAGACATTGTACTCTGAGGACTGGCAGGGAGCTCTTAATCCAAAACCATCTTCCTTTCGTTGTAAAACAGCTCCGTGTTGGCAAGTGACAGTAACAGAGCCTGAGCTCTAAACGCTGCCTGTTGCCTTGCAGCTGTGGGACCTACGGCAGACGAGGAACCGAGTGCGTGAGTACAAAGGGCATTTCCAGACCACGACCTCATGCGTTTTCTTTCCACGGGGCCCAGCTCTCGCCCCCAGCATTGCCACGTCCTCGTACGACAGCACAGTGAAGGTCTGGGACCAACACAGTGGAGGTAGGGGAGGGTCCTGCCCACTCAGTGTGCCTTACCCTGGGATAACAAAACTGCTTCCTTCGTTTCTGTCTACCGGTGGTAATGGGGACAATGAAGCCTGAAATCTCTGGGTGTTACTCTAATCCAGCTGCAGGGCAGGGTGGAGATATGCCCCAGAGCAAACCCTCCAGCGAAGGAGGGTGTTTGGGTGCGTAATGTTGGAGGTGACGGGGTTGTCACCTAGGACAATAGGAGTGCTCCTAGACTAAAAGGAAGTAATGACAAGATGGCTTTTAAAGATATGTCCAAGTTCAGCAATGAAAGAACAAATGATAAAAGATCAAAAAGAACAGAGGAACTCTGGGGCTTTCCGCAGATACCAGTGGAAAGTTGTAAAGAATAGAAGTTGTGCTGGAGGATAGAGGGCTGGTCAGCAGCTGCCCTCAATTTGATCATCCTCTTGAAGGGGGATTGTGGGCATTTCGGGGTTAACCCTGCCTGCTGGAGTACTTGGTGAGGGCCAGTCCTCACCTGAGCTGGACACAAAGGCTGTTAACCTGCCAAGCCCTGCCACAGCAGCAGCTTGTTAGTAACCGAACGCCTTGGGCAGAAGGCAGAGACCTCTTGGGAAACGGTTCAGGTTCACAGATGGGCACTGAATGCAGAAGTCATCAGCATTAGACACTCCCCGTGGCTAAGCACCTCTCCAAATGCACTTATTTAACATAGGATGAAAATAGAAACCCGATGATCTCCCACAGAAAACTCTCACCTTCTGTTTCACTTACCTCTTTCACCCTGGTGCCTGTGCACGCCGAGACAGCCGCGGGGTTGGCAGCAGCTTTATTTTCATCCTATTGCCTTCACAAGTGGGTGACCTTCACAGCCGTCAGCCTTAATTCAGGTGCTCTTGGAAGGGTGTAAGTCACCACGAGTTGCCTGTACGTCTGTGTCAAATGTGGCTCTGTTAGCAGCTCAGCGTGGGGTTAGCGTCTGCACGAATGCTGCCTCAGGATATTTTTTAATACTAGACACAAACAGAAGGGCTGATGTGGTGCTGGATATTGTAAATCTTATTTCTGTTTCTCTTTTGGTGATTTATCAAAACTGCATGTTGAGTGTAGCACAGTCCTTAGGAAGAATTTTTCTGGACCGTAAGCAATTTGGGAGAAAAAGGCGTGTTAGGAATGCCTCCACACGAGCCCTGCAGCTCTGCCCAGTGGGGTCTGTCTGTCCATCCATCCCTGCTTCCTCTCCAGGGAAGGGGCAGAGCCCGACCTCAGCCTGGATCCACGTTAGCTGGGCGACGCACAGATCCCCTGTGGGGCTTACGGGGGTGGAGGGTGTCTCTTCCAGAGGGCACGTCCCGTTGCCTTTGGACGTGGGACAGCGAGGGGTGCAGCTCACCCTCGGAGCAGACAGATGCACACGGGCAAAGCCAGGAGGTGGGAGGTTGGTGCGGTCATGTCTCATCTCGTCAAACCATGTCCCAAGTGACTTGTCTCTTCCCTCCCCAGCCTGCCTGGCCACCTTGTGCCTCGAGGGATCGGGACCGCTGGCCTCGCTGGCCGTCTGCGACAGCTCCACACTGCTCTGTGCCAGTTTTAACTCGGGAATTCACGTACTCCAGATGAGTGACCATGCGGACCTGCTGCTGGAGGAGGTGGCAGCGTTTTGACTGTAGTAACCTTTCCAACAGAGACTGCCCTGCAAGGGGATGCGATTCCCTGAGAGTTTCCCTGTCTGCAAGCACCAGGAGACCTTGTGCCTGTAGAGCAGCAATGTGCGATCAGCGGGGCAGGGGGATTTACTGGTTTCAGTTTGTGGGTGGCAGGAAGGCACTGGAGTTGTCTAGAAGAAAAGCCAAAGCATGGATGCATTCGGGCCAAGTTCTCACTCCTGAAAGAGCCTTGTGAATTTTTTTATTTACAAAACCTCTATGCAGGCTAGCTGCACGTGATGGGGGCTAATGGAGGAGGAGATGAGCTGCGAGAAGCCAAGGGGCAGCGCTGAAGGGGGCCAGGGCACGGGGCAGGGAACGCTCGGCCTCCTTCCCCTTGCTCCAGTTGAGTGGAGCTGAACGTGGTGCGACAGAAACCCTGCACGGGGATTTATACCCCGGGAACAACGTGAGTGTAAACGCAGAACATTCACTGGCGTCCAAAATTTAATCCTAAGCCAGCTAGAAACGTGGGAGCCTGCAGGGCGACTGCTGGGCCAGCATCATCCCGTGAGTGGCAACCTGATGAGAAACGCCCTGGGGGGGCTTGTCCCGGCTGCGCCGCTGGGAGCCCCCCCCTGCACAGCGGCCAGGCGGGGACGGTCCCTTTAGCAGCCACTTTATGAGGTGGGTAAGAACCAGCTTGAGCACGCACAGCTGGTATCCAGGCTTACGCAAGAGGAGGCTGCAATGAAGTATTTTTCTGTGTTAGTCACTGGCCTCTCGACCCATAGTATTTTCCCTGGGAGTAAATAAGAGCCAGCACACAGCACGTGGCAGGTACCACCATACTGGCACTCCGCTAGACGAAAAGTAACTTGTGAGTGGGTTTGGGTTTGTTTTTTTTCTTCTTAAAACACAATCTCCAACTTCTGTTGAGAACAGCACTGTGTTCACTCCCAAGGAACATGGGCAGCTGCTCTCCAGCTGACAACGGGGAGATGAATCGGTCTTCTCTTCTCCCAAAGGTTTCTTACGACAGCAGACAGAAATCAAACCGTGTGTTGCGAAGTAACTGTAATTTCTCCATTCCTTAGTCAGACCCAGAGGCTAGGGTGCACATTCAAAACACGTTTTGATTTTCCAGAACACAACATTTGCAAAACCTCAATTTAAAGAATAAACGACAAATAAGAAAGCTCCGCACAGTGCAAGTTAGAACACGACAATCCTACACTGAAATAGCCTTCTTTGTATCGTCTCAGTGAGACACAGCAAAAACTTGAACAGGAGATGCCTACATGGGTTTGAAACACCCGGTTCATGAGACCGCTCAAGGAGCGAGGACATGAGACGGTACACGGAAAAGAAAAATTTCCCTGGCCTTTAAGATCTACTGTGAGCGAGTACAAAGGGGACGCAGACCTCCACATTCAGAGACTCCCCTGCAGCGGCAGGGGAAGCAGGGTACCATCCTCCTGTAACTGACAGCTAGTTTTTCTTTCTTCAAATGCAAATCAAATTTGAAGCCACAGACTCCTACCAAAGGCTCCTGGAAAACGGAAGGTAAGAAGGGCATTAAGAGAGGCTGAACAGCACACCATACCCGAGGTGTTGTGAGGCCACCTACAAATGTTTAGAACAGACTGGAGAAAACCTGTGAGCCTAACTTGGAAGGGAGGGTGGAAGCAGATGGATCATCTCCAAATTACAGCAGAAAGCAGTGTCTGCAGTATAAAAACAAAGTCCTAAAAAGAGGAAAAACATCACCCAAGATTTGACTCCAACCAAGCCCTGGCAAACACAGGTGCTTCAGAAACACCTCAACCCAAGACCAGCCAGTGACTACCGCTGCCGTAATGCATGTTGCAATAGCCGACTCCTTTTTTTTTTTCCTTTAATATAAAAAAAGCAAGTCTTAGCTGAAAGCCATTAACGTCTCCATTCCCGTTCACCAGCAGCACCTCTGAGCTACTCCGCTGTCCACAACTTGAAGGTTCTGTCATAGGAGCAGGTCGCTATCAGCTGGCCGTCGAGGGAGATATCCAGTCCCATCACCTTTCCCTCGTGACCAGCCAGCGTCTTCAAAGGCGACCAGCCGGGGTGAGTCCAGATCTTTGCGGTGTTGTCGTAAGCGCCTGTGAGCAGGAAGTTTCCGTGATTGGCTGCAGTAGAGGAGGAGAAAAAGGGAGAAGCGAGATTTGCAAATAAAAACTTGACAAATTGTCTCTGCTAACCAGTACAGGCCTTCTTGACCTGAAGATGCATTTCTGAGTTGCCCCATCCCCTGCCACCTCAGCTCAGGAGAGGCAGGGATAAGGAACGTCAGAGAGAAGGCACCTACGTTCAAATTTCACCCCGGTCACCAGGTTCTGATGGGCAGGAATGGTGTAGATGCACTTCCTCTGGCGGAGGTCCCACACTTTGCAAGTATTGTCACCGCTGCCAGTTGCGACGTGGTATCTGCCAAAGGGTGGAGGAAGAACATGTTGTTGGGAGCTGGGGTTTGTACTCAGAGCTCCCGTGTGAACCATGCAAGCTCCTTTCTTACCCATTTGGGGAGAAGTTAACCCCGTAGATCTCCTTCAGGTGGCCTTCTAGAAACATGATACAGCGTCCCGTGCGCAAGTCCCACACCCGGCCAAAAGCATCCAGTCCACTGGGAAGAGAGAACCCGAGCACTACCCATCAGAGACCCCAGCAACTGCCAGAGTACGCTCAGCTTCACCCGCAGAAATCGCTGGGGCGCTTGGCATCAGACAGCGACAAAACCTTGATAGTATTTCACATCCAGTCCTGACGCAAAGCAAACTCACCCAGTCCCAGCGAGAGAGCCGTCTGTGTGAAAGGCAATGTCATAGACACCTTTACTGTGCCCTTCCTGATGGAGAATCTCCTCCTGAGCTTCCAAGTCCCACAAGCGCCATGAGTGATCGTAGCTGTAAAAACAAAGCATTTGTCCAACTAAACGTATCTCCAGGGAGAATAACAGGATATTTCACTAACTCTGTGGGCCTTTTATTTCCAGCTGGAGACCAACAGCATCTCACATGAGGGGCAGAGAACAGAATCCCAATGACTTGCTGTTATTTAGTTATTTTAGTTGAAGATGTCCCTGCCCACGGCAGGGGGTTGGACTAGGTGACCTTTAGAGGTCCCTTCCAACCCAAACTATTCTATGATTCTATGATTTACACTGCAACAGCCCAGCTGTTGTCAAGAATGGCCAACCCTTGCGCATGCGGGGCTCCTCTGCAGACAAGCAGTGGTACCCATGGGGCTACCAGCTAGATGTTACCAGCTAGGTAGTGTCTTAAACCAAATAACCAAATCTCCATACCAGGTAGTACCCAGGAACCTGCCAGATGGGTGCCACATCACACGTGCCACTCTCATGCTGTGTCCTTCAATATCTGCCACCGGTTCATCACTGAAAAACCAGAAACAAAAGTCATCGGACACTGGTCAGAGGTGGCTGGCTCTAGCCAGGCCTTTGCAAGCATTATGATCACAGCAAGACAGCTGCTAATTAAGCGCAAGCCAGACAGGAAAATCAGAGTTCTAACTAGTGACTCTGAATTCTGCCTTCTGTTCACACAGCTAAAGCTCTAAGTGAAACCCATGAATGTGGATTCACGTTGGTTATAAAGTTCTCCTGGGGTAATTATTTCCAGAAAATTAACAAGGCCCTTGTTAATTGCACTTTGAAAGTGGCAACAGCAGAAACAAAACGCGGACTCCCTGGACAGCAGGGAGTTTTACTGCGGCTACACAGAACACATCCCCAACTACAGCAAATCCAGCTGTGCTGAGGAATCGCAGGGCAGGCAGGATAGAGTGAATATTTATTCTCCCAGAATTACAGTCAGCAGGCCAGCAGCCTTCAGCAGAAGACCTGAACAGCGTGCAGAGTTTCTGTCCAACAGACCAACTAAAGAGACGTGGTCACATGAGACTAATAAACAACCCGTCCCTTTGCACAGGTATGCTTCTGCAATTAGAAACAGTGGCTTTCAGCTAAGGATAAACAACTGAGCATCTCGGAGTAGCCTGCCTCTTCCTCAGGCGCACTGCAGGGCTCCACTTTTCAAACACAGCAGGTGCTAGGGCTCGGTATCTACACGTTCTCTTCTTCACAGGCTTGAGATAGATGCTGCTCATCTTCCAAAACTACACTGTGCAATGACAGGGCCGCTTGTTTTTATTACTGGATGAAGCTATGGTGCATGGTCATGTATTTGGTTAGTCCCTCTCTGAATACTGGTGCTTCCCAATAACTCAGAAGTTCATTTCTTAATATCCAAGAGGGGAAATTTTCTCCTAAATAAAAGGTTAGAATGAAACAATCTCCACATCTTCCATCCATCACCCAAAGCAGTTTACCAGTGCCCAGCAGCAATTCTGACTTGGTTCTTTTCAGACGATTTCCCCTCACCTTGATTCCCCTAATCAGGG